TGTGTGCAAACATTCTTGGCCTCATGCTGCCACAGAAATAACCCTAAAATTCTTACTTTGTTCCCAAAAGTGAGACCTTTCCCCTGCTTTGCTAACGTGAATGGTCTGAGATAAGTTACAGTGCTCCTGTATCCCCTCACTCTTCAGAAGCTGATCCTCAGCTCTTAGTTTTCCAAGTCTTATGCTATGAAGCAAGTTTTGCTCCAGAGGCACTGTGTTACTTCCCATTCCCTTCTGCCTTGTCCTTAACTCATTCCAGAGGTCACAGCCATGTTGGATGCTCCTGTAAGCTGTTTGCTGCCTACAAGCCTGGGCCTGGCACTGCTGCCCTACATTTAGATGGGCAGTCAGCAAAGAGATACAGTACTCCCAATTCAGTCACCCTGAATGACACTGAACTCAAATGCTAGGCACAAAGCTAAGGAGAGGATGCAGAAACTAGCAGGTCAAAATTTATCTCAATTTTCTATCAAAACTGAGCTACATTTCCTTAAAGCAAGAACAGTGGAACAGAGATGTCCAGGCAGATGAGAGTATCTCCCTTCTCCCTCACTGCTGTACATCATTAATGCCTTAGGGAATGGACCAAACCTTCAGCCACAGGTATTACAGCTACCAGTAGAGCAAAGCTCTGATCCAAATCTGACACTGCTGTAATAAGAGAAATCACTGAAACGGTAAAAAGCACTGAAATCCTAAAGAAAGTAATGCTAAAAGGGGAAAACATGACCTAAAAAGACATCAAGACTGCACTGTGGTCACTCTAAAGGGGAATGGATGAATGGAGCAGCCAAGGCATTTCCTAACTTCTAATAACACTGCTTGTCTCTTTTCAAATGAATAGAATACAGCAAAGCTTAAAAAGTGAAATACAGAATGCTATAGTTTCACATGCCTCTTCAAGATACAATCAATAATGAAATAACTTGGGCACATCTATCAGAAACTCAGGAGGCATCAAATTGATTATAAAAGCAGGGAGTAGACAGAAAAATGACAAAATGCTTTGTCTAAGATCCCATGGCTGACTCGTGGAATCTACCAGACATGGCACTCAGGGACACGAGGTGTCTCACTGGCGAACACTGCCTTCTCACACACACATATGTAAATCCTCCAGTTATGAAGTACAGCAAAAAGAACTGGCTTCGCAGCTCAGCATTATTCAGACCTCTGGAAAACCACCAAAGTTGTTCTCATATTAGAATGGATTTTTGTCTGACCCCTTTGAATACAACTCCTGGATCAGGTTACACCAAGCATCCACCTCATCGGTATCTTTATTCTAGTTGTGAATGCCTAATGAACAGCATAAACATGAGACAATTATGTAAGAATGCTTCCCAGAATACTTCTGCAGCCTTCCACAGCAAGGATTTTATAACCTTTTAGCAGCTTTAGCTTTACCTGGGACAAGGTAAAAAAGGGAAAAAAAACATGACAAGGGAAAAAAAAAACCTGTTTCCCAGACATCTGCATAATCAGCCAGAAAAGCAAACAGCTGTAGCTCCAAGGTCATGTAGAAGATGCTCTTGAATCTCCGTAAACAGCATGAAGACATGAAAAATGGAACAAGGACACAGCTTTCATATGTTTAATGTAAAATCCTGGAAATGGAAAAAAACCCACTCTCTAAGGTTGTTCCATACAGTCAAATTAACAGTTGTGCTTCTTGGCAAATGAAATTAAAATGTGTTGACCTTGATTTCCAGTTTTCACCTACTGTCTTTCAAAAGACAAAGTCATTTCTCCATGTTTCTCCTCATCAGATATGTAACCCAGGTTCAGTTTCTCCTTGTGCCCAGACAGGAATTCTTTAAAATATTCTTTTAAAAAAAAAAGTCTCATGGACGCAACTGCCTGTATCACAACTTAGTAATAGCATTAATTTTTTAGAGCCAAGATCAGATTTTTAGTCTTTCACAGCCAATGTTCTTCACCATCTCTGAGCTGCTCTCAGCAATCCCTGGAATCTGCCTACAATCCCTTTTCTCACTTTTCACACAGGCTGACTGGACTACAAAAGGGAGGAAAGCACTGCTTCTTACGGACCCCTGAAACCACGCTGCCTTTCACAGCACTTCTCCTCTCCTCAACACTGTTTAAGCTCGGTGGGAAAGACTTTCACAGAATCACAGAATCATTAGTGTTGGAAGAGACCTTCAAGATTTTCGAGTCCAACCCCTGCCCTAACACCTCAACTAAACCATGGCATCAAGTGCCACATTCAATTTCTTTTTAAACGCATAAACACATTAAGGGATGGTGACTCCACCACCTCCCTTTGGCAGCCAATTTCAATGCTTTATCACTCTTTCTGTAAAGAACTTTTTTCTAATATCCAACCTATACTTCCCTTGGCGCAGCTTGAGACTGTGTCCTCTGTTCTGCCAGTTGCTGCCTGGAGACAGAGACCAACTCCCACGTGTCTACAGCCACCTTTCAGGAAGTTGTAGAGAGTGATAAGGTCACCTCTGAGTCTCCTTTTCTCCGGGCTAACCAACCCCAGCTCCCTCAGTTGTTCCTCTCAGGGTTTGTGTTCCAAGCCTTTCACCAGCCTTGTTGCTCTTCTCTGGACGTGCTCAAGGGTCTCAATGTCCTTCTGAAACTGAGGGGCCCAGACAGTACTCAAGGTGCAGTCTCACCAGTGCCGAGTACAGGGGAAGAATGACCTCCCTGCTCCTGCTGGCCACATTATTCCTGATACAAGTCAGAGTGCCGTTGGTCTTTTTGGCCACCAAGGCACACTGTTGGTGCATGTTCAGTTGGCTGTCAGCCAGTACCCCCAGGTCCCTTTCTGCCTGGCTGCTATCCAGCCACACTATCCCCAGCCTATAACGTTGCAGGGGGTTACCGTGGCCAAAATGCAGGACTCGGCACTTGGACTTACTAAATCTTATCTTATTGGACACTGCCCATCCATCCAACTGTTACAGGTCTCTCTGTAGAGCCCTCCTACCTTTCAACAGATCAACACAGGTTCCCAGCTTAGTGTCACCTGCAAATTTACTAATGAAGGACTCAGTGCCCTCATCCATGTCATCAATAAAGACATTGAACAGAACTGGCTGCAGCACAGAGCCCTGAAGAACACCACTAGTGACTGGCTGCCAGCTGGATGCAGCACCATTCACCACTGCTCTCTGGGCCCGGCCATCCGGCCAGTTCTTAACCCAGCCAAGAGTGCTCCTGTCCGAGCCGTGGGCTGCAGCTTTTCCAGGAGAATACTGTGGGAAACAGTCTCAAAGACCTTGCTGAAGTCCAAATAGACAACATCCACAGCCTTCCCCTCATCCACCAGGCAAGTCACCTGGTCATAAAAGGAGACCATGTTGGTCAAGCATGACCTACCCCTCCTAAATCCATGCTGGCTGGCTCTGATACCCTGGGCATCCTTAAAGCGCTGTGTGATGNGCTGCACAATAATTTCTTGAAGTAAGAAATTATGCCTATCTTATGGAAAGGAGTAATTTAGATAATAGATTCACACATGTGCTAATGCCAACATTTACACCTTTCAGGTGTAACATATGCACCACATGAGTCACAGAGCTCTTTCTGGATGACTGCATAATGTTGAAATAAGCAGGATAAAAATAGGAATGTATTACCTTCAAAATAACAAGACTTCCTCCCACTTCTTTGCCCCCCAAGTTCATGGGCTATGCATTCCATCAGGATTCACTACACCAGCCAGAATTCACTACCTTAGCCAGGAGCTCTACTTTTGGTTGAGTCTGACAGTCTTTCTAAGTCTCCTACCTGAACTTTTGTGTAGCCTGACAGATGCTGAGAGTGTCCTGCCTTCTTTCCCAAGTGTTCCTTGGTTTCTGACATAACATTAGCACTTCTGTGATAGTGGCACTTCAGATCATAGTGGCTACCCCTTCTTCTGGCTTCTGTGTCAAACAAGATATGGTTTAGCCTCCCCAGRTACTTATCCAGCTCTTCCTGGCTGTGCTCCAGTTGTTTGCCAGCATTACTGGGGGAAAAAGAAGAGGATGGCGGGGAGGATTTGCTATCCCCCTCCTTCCTGGCCTCTTGCACATGTGGATTYTGTTTCATTAGAACAAGCACAATGATAATCCAGATCAGGTAGAGATACACAACCCAGACTTCTTCCATCTTGGAGGCGAGTTATCAGGACCTGATCATGCCTGTTGATGTACTCACAGGGAAGCCAAATGGACCAAACATCACCAGTGGTCAGCACTCCCCAGCTGCCAGCACACATGGCAGGACTGGTGCCAGGAACTAAACCACTGTGGTAGTGGATGTCACAGCTGGATTTTGCTAATGCAGCATGTCTTACAAACCTTCCACAGTTCTAAAGATGAAAGCAGCAGAAGCAGTGAGCAGCAAAAAAATTTTAGGCAGCAGAAAGATACAAGATCATTTGTCACAGCTCTGTGTGAGCTTAAAATAGCAGTATCTCTCCTCTTTTTTTTTTTTTTTTTTTTGTTATGGAGCTGCATATTAAATTATCCTTACTCTTTAACCTTCCTTCTGTTGGAATGTTCCAGCTGGTGTCTATCCTGAAGTGGTAAATTCTTCTTTCTAATTCAAAGAAAAGTTAGGATTTCCCTCCCCAAATGAAGATAATGTGTTACCCTTTAGGAGTGATTAGATGCTAAATCCAGTCTCAGCATCYAAACAATTGAAATGAGACAAGGTAATATCAGTCACCTGAAATACAGGATCAGTAGGACCAATTTGTTGGCTTCTTTCWGTTTTTGCTGGGAGAGGGAGTTCTYCTAGAAGTGGTTGCTGGACTCTGGAAGGAATTCCAGCTGAACTCAGTATGTAGGGATCCCTTGGAGATCCTTYAAGGGCTGTTTCTCAGTGATTCTGCCCCCTGCTTACTCAGACATGGGAAGCCCAAGGACCAATAAATGCATTTCTACTGACCAAGCTCAGGAGAAGGGGTTGGACAAACATCTGATTAGTGYCCAGCGTCCAGGGTTACAGACCAAATGTCAGCAGGGATGAGCAGCCACCAGGACAGGGCGAGCCCCTACTCCCTCCATCTGGAGGCAGGGTCTGGCTGGAATGGGACTGCATTTTGTAACCTTTGCTCAGGGGATCTGTTTACAGGGGAGGGTGACTAAAAGGAGCAGAGATCACACCCAGATTTCTGCTGTCTGTGTGTGCAAACATTCTTGGCCTCATGCTGCCACAGAAATAACCCTAAAATTCTTACTTTGTTCCCAAAAGTGAGACCTTTCCCCTGCTTTGCTAATGTGAATGGTCTTCCCCTCATCTACCAGGCAAGTCACCTGGTCAGAAAAGGAGACCATGTTGGTCAAGCATGACCTACCCCTCCTAAATCCATGCTGGCTGGCTCTGATACCCTGGGCATCCTGAAAGTGCTGTGTGATGACACTTAATATAAATTGTTCCATGACCTTGCCGGGTACCAAGGTCAGACTCACTGGCCTATAGTTACCTGGATCCTATTTCCTGCCTTTCTCATGAATGGGTGTCACAMTGGCCAACTTCCAGTCATCTGGAACCTCACCTGTGAGCCAGGACTGCTGGTAAATGATGGAGAGAGGCTTCACAAGCTCATTTGCCAGCTTCCTCATCACCCTGGGATGAATCCCATCCGCTCCCATGGATTTATGAATATACAAATGCCTCAGCAGTTCCCTAATTGCCTCCTCTTGGATAAGAGGGGGAYCATTCTGTTCCCTGACACCATCTACCAATCCAGGGGGACAGTTGTCCTGAGGACAAGCCATCTCCCCACTAAAGAGTGAGGCAAAGAAGACACTAAGCAATTCTGCCTTCTCATCTGCAATTACTAARTTCCCTCTTGCATCCAGTAGAGAACAAAGGTCAGTCTTACCCTTCCTTTTGTTGTTAATATATATATATAAAAACATTCTGTTAACCTTTACAAAAGTTGCCAAGTTAAGTTCAAACCGAGCTTTGGCCTAATTTTTTTCCTACATGCCCTAGCAACTCTCTTAAATACTTCTTGAGAGATCTGAYCCTCCTCCCAAAGATGATACACCCTCTCTTTTTTTCTAAGTTCTTTCAAAACCTTATTGCCCATCCAGGCTGGGCGTTTGCTCATTGACTCATCTTAGGCATGCAGGGACAGTCTGTTCCTGTGCCCTCAAGATCATTTTTGAAGCRYGTCCATCTTTCCTGGACTCCTTTGTTTTTAAGGRSTGCTTCCCRAGGAACTCTCTGAATAAGTTTCCTGAAAAAGCCAAAGTCTTCCCTCTGGAAGTCCAGAGTAARAGTCTTATTAGTGTTCCTCTTCATTTCACCAAATACTGAAAACTCTAATTTCGTGATCACTATGCCCCAAGCGGCCTCCAACCACATTTCCCACYAGCCCATCTCTATTAACAAACAGTAGATCCAGCATAGTCCCTCCCCTGRTGGGCTCACTCACCATCTGCAATAGAAAGTTGTCTTCTACACACTCCAAGAACCTCCTGGACTGCCTCCTTTCTGCTATACTAAGTTCCCAGCAGATGTATGGGATGTTAAAATCACCTACAAGAACAAGGGCTGGTGACCYTGAAGCATTCTYCAGTTGTTTATAGAATAAGTTGTCCACCTCTTCCTCCTGGCTGGATGGACGGGAAAAAGCTCCCAATGGAATGTCAGCCTTGTTGGCCTTYCCCTTAATTCTCACCCATAGGCATTTAACTTTATCATCACGAGTTTCAATGCCCATGAAATCAAACACCTCCCTAATRTAAAGGGCCACYCCTCCACCTCTTCTYCCTTTCCTGTCTCTTCTGAAGTTTGTAGCCAACCAGTGCAGTGTTCCAGCTCTGTGAGTCATCCCACCACATTTCTGTGATGGTGGCTACATTACAGCTTTGCTGCTGCACCAAGGCTTCCAGCTTTTCTTGATTGTTACCCAAACTGCAGGCATCAGTATACATGCACTTCAGCTGGGCTTGTTTCACCCCTAACTCAGGCTTTCCACCCTTCGGTCTGCTTCCACAGAGCCCAGCTGCATCCCCTTCAAGCCTAGTTTAAARCCCTTTCAATGAGTTCAGCCAGCGCATGAGCTAAAACCCTGCCCTTAACAGAGATGGAGCCCATCGAGCTCCAGCAGACCAGGTGMTGTGAAAGTYTCCCCATGATCAAAAACCCCAAAATTCTGATGATGGCACCAAGCCTTGAGCCATTTATTGATAATGTGGCTCTCCTATTCCTTTCATTGTTTTTCTCTGGTACCAAAAGGACTGAACAGAACACGACGTGTGCCTGTACCCTGTCAACCATTTGGTTTTGGTGCCCTAAAGTCCCTTTTAATTGCCCTGATGCTTTTCTTTTCAAGCTCATCACTGCCAGCTGGGACTTTCAGCAGTGGGTAATAATCAGARGGCCAAATCAGCCCAGGCAGTCTCTCAATGATATCCCATACCTGGGCCCCAGGGAGGCAGCAGATCTCCCTGTGGGATGGGGCCGGTCAACTTATGGGGCCCTCTGCTCCCCTCAGAASGGAGTCACCCACTAYGACTACCYTTCTTTTCTTTTTAATGAAAGRGGTGGTGATCTGACTAACAGGTGAAGCATAATTGGRAGGTTCCTAGCTAACCTAGGACAACTGGACAGATCATTCTCTGCTACATCATCTGGCTGATCCTCTAGATCCAGGGCCTCAGACCTGTCCTGAAGCWKCACCTGGGTAGGWGATGGGGGTCGGGAGGAATTCTTACTACCTTCTCAAATAGGGACTCATTTCACTCCCCTTCATGCACCAAATGTTCTACTGGCTGACAGTGGGAGGCATGGGAGTCCTCTGACTCCTGGTGGGCCTCCCTCAAGGATGGGGGCAGAACTCCACCAATCTATTTCCCTTTTGCTTTCCCTAATACTCCTTAGCCTTTCTACTTCCTCCCTGAGCTYACCAGTGAAAGGAGATCATTCACCTGTTCACACTGCAGGCATGCTTCTTCTCCAATGCCCCTTGGTACCAYTGATAAGCTCAAACACTCCGCACATAAATAGGTCTGGACAGATGCATCCTTTCTGGAGGACTGTATTTGGCTACGTATGCTTGTAGGAACTGCAGTTTTTGATCCTGTATAAACTATTGCTAACAAAAAACAAAAACCCAAAACCAACCAGCCAACAAAACAAAACACCGCTAGCAGCAGAATACCTGCAACACTGCCCACTTGCTCTGCCTGTGCAAACTTCCTCACAAACTGCCGTGTCACAYCCTCAGAGACGTGCCAGGCCCCTGTTTGTCTGCTCCTGTTCACCATACTCCCTAGAGCCTTCCTTTAATCACCCCACCACTGACTGGGGAAACCGTGTCCCACACAAAAACCATGCTGCATGAACTTAAGACTTCAGAGACTCAAGCAGTATTGACTGGAGACACACATTCAATAAGCCAAAATTTAATACAAATCTAATGGAAGAGAGTATTTAGGTGTGACAGTTGATTCTACCACCACAAAAGCTGGCATGCAGCTAATTTTCCCTCTGAGGCACTGGTGGTCGCAACTGGGCAACTTATAAAGTAAACTTTAAGAGCCAATTGTATATCCTTCCTAGCTGGCCAGAATCTGGCTTCAGCAACAAAATTTTTCCCTGTTTTCCTGGAAACAACTGTCCTTACATCTCTAGCCTAGATTAAATCAGGATGTGCAGTTTTATTCTAGGTCTGTACTTGCCAGTGAAAGAGATGAATGAGCAAAAATGTTTCTCACTCACTTTCCCCCGAGACCCTGAGCTTGTGCTCCTCCATGTAAGGGATAACATACTACTTGTGTTTGCTGTATGCCAGAAACTGCTTTCACACAGACTGATGGAGTGGAAGCATCCAACTGTCCACGGCTGGATCTTGATTCCAAACCATTCCCTCCTGTATGCATTGCTGTCTCAGCTGCAAGAAAAGCTCTGCTCTATTTAAAAGCAATAGGAGAATGGGAAAATCTCATGCTACAAAAGACAGATTCTACAGTTAATGTCAATTCTACAGGAAGGAAAGCAGATCCKTCCACAGTGATGACCCTTTCAAAGGTGCCTCTCTCCAGTGTGAGCATAGAGAAGCACTATGTAGCCTGAATTTTAGGGTCATATGCATAGTAGGCAAATCTGGCTTAAACTTCTAGATAAAGCACCCTGGAAGAGGATCCAGAGTTTCATGCATGACATTTCCTACTGCACAGCATCTTTCCACTGTTCTTCAGTTTACAGGAGATCTGGCACAGTTGTGAAAAGTGATTTTTCTAGAAGAAATTAAAGCGAAATTCTTCTTGGGGACTTGTGAAGTTAAATAGGCCTGTGTCAAGTGTTTTGTGTGACTCCGAAGGGGATTCTGCTGAACCTTGGCTTTTCCTGCAAGCTCCCAAACATTTCCGGATGAACTGGCCATTCTTCTTGCGGATGCTTCCCTCCAYCTCCACAATCCTGGCAGATTTTGCAGCTAAAAGAGGGGAGAAAAAAGCTGTAAGAGACTTTCAGTCATCTCATATAGTGAGGCCCCAGTCTGCAAAGAAGAGGCCAGGACAGAATCCCTTTCTTCTCCTCCTCAACATGCACAGTTCTCCTACCTGTTTCCATAAGCTTCAGCTCTCTGCACAGCTCCTCCTGCATCTTCTTCCTGTAGTCTCCAAACATGGCTCTCATGAGCTGACGCTTCTTCACCAGTGGAGCCTTGTCACTGCGCAGTGTCCTGATTGCCCTGAGAGCCTCCTCAGCTGCAGCAAAGGATAAACAACGCATAGGTTAATCCTTCCTGCTGGCTCKGCCCCTGCATTCCTGCCAATGCTTYCCCAAGGAGAGAGCTATTCTTAACTTCAATGCTTACCCTGCTTTGGAGTGGGTTTCTGTGTCTTCAAGCCGAGTTCCAGTTGGCTCACACACCAGTCCACCTCTTTCCGCAGCTGCTCATCTAACTGCTATCAACATGAGGCACAGTGAGCAAAAGGAAGTAAGTCATCTAAAAATTACAGCAGCAATTGTTACAAAGGATGAAAGGGAACTCCATTAAGTCAGGACTATTCCAAGTATCACGTTCTGGTAATCACTTCACAGACTTCATGATGTTTTCCCTCTAGTGYTTTTCATCAGATGAATTAAGAGCACTGTGCAAATGTTTAGTTGCAACTCACTGCCTCCATCAGATGGATTAAATACGTGGCTGCCATTCAGAGGGCGTGTTTCCTGGAAAGCTGTTCAGCTTTCAAATACATTTACAGATAGGAGAAATAAACATTAACAACAAAAAAACCCTATCCCCAAACCTGCACAAAATAAAAAAAAACCAACAAAACAATGGACAAAATTAGAAGCTGAGTCTTTTTTCTCAGCTCCTGTGCTTGCTCAACCAGAAATGCATGAGAAGGAAACTGAAGCCCATGAAGATGGAGGAAGCCAAGTCCCACTGAGCAAAGCCAGCTGGCTAACTTAGCTGTGGGAGAGGGAAACAGAGCTGCACCCTAGGACTGAAGAAATTCTTAACTCTTATGTACATGTAAAAACAAGTGCCCTCACACTGTCTCATTTCACCTACAACAGTCCTTCCAAAGGACTGGAAAGGCCTTACCTCACCTTCACCTCTTCCTAKGTCTCTGGTGTTCAGCAGTGTTTATTAGTAGGACTGGAGGTGAAGCAGCCCTTTGGATGGAATGTTCCAGAGGCGAGTGGATACTTAGTGCAATTGCTTTGTAGAATATTAAGAAAAGGAAGGTTTTGTGCAATCTTGTATTACAGTATTGATCAGCTAGTACTGCTTGTTAATGGTAACCAGTGCTGTAAAGTAAAATGAAGACCTGGACCTTAGCAGAACAGAAAATCTCAGGGTGTGCCATAATGGTGTTTACACATAACTTGCAACTTCAGTTGATTTCTGGGCTATGCCCTACAGAACCTGTGCTCTTCTCAAAGGCACTCTTGAGCTTTACCACAGGCTCTTGGCTACACCAGGTGGCAGCTCTGTGCCTTGGCTTTGCTCCTTGCACCATGAAAGCAMTTCATCCTGCAATGTGCACACCAGAGCTACAGGACTTGGCTCACCACCTACAGGCACCAGCTTGGCATCAGTTTAAGACAGTTACCTCCATTTCCTATTTTTATTATGAAAACATGGCACCCAGCTCCCAAGGATTAGCTGTCACAAGCCTAAACATGAAATGTTTCAGCACAAATCTGAAGGACCATTAACTTCCTTCACACTGGTTAAGTTCCTCAGCTGTGTAGCAGAGAAAGCAAACAGMTGCTGGAAGATGTAAGGAGCAACTGTGGTCTTTCAGCTTCCATCTGAAGGCTGTATGCTAATTGTTCATCTGTGCAAAGAGATAAAGAGTCTCTTTAKCTCAAGAGTTTATAAATTATGGGATCCCATCAATATTTAACTACCTGAGAGGTCTTCTCATCCTGATGGGAAGTATCCGTATTCTGACAGCTGTTAGCTTCCACCTTCCTGCTGGTCTCAGTTTCTTCTGTTTTCTTTTTACTGACAGGTGGTTTTTGTTTCTTCTTTTTCTTCTTCTGGGCTGCTCCACCTCCTGTTGTTTTCTCTGTCACTGCCTCATTTGCAGGGGCTGTCTCTGTTTGGGGGATCTTTGATGTGACATGGCTTCTATCCTCTTGGGTTGCATTCCCTGTCACTTGAGTCACCTCAGGCTTCTGTAAGGCTGAAGCCTGCAGCAGAGCTGCTGGTTCTGCTGGCAGTGAAGGATCTGCTGTGTGCTCTGTATGATGGCTTGCTGGAAGTAACTGAAGCTGAGGACAGTCTTCACCTGGGATGGAAAAGTTGAAAGCAAACTTGGGTTCTTGTCCAGAGGCAGCAAACCCCAAGGCTTCACTAAAGTACTCCTGCTTGCCAGCTCTGTCATTGCTTTGTACCTGCTCAGCACCACTGTCACCAGAGTCAGCTTCTGGGTAGATCTTGGAAAGCGTAAAATCAAATCGGAAGCTGCTGCCAGATGATGTGAACAACTCTGGCTTTGCCTCAGCGGTTGGGTCAGCCTTTTTCACAGCATCTGCAGCCTGTCCATTGCTTGGCTGTACTTCCACAACATCAGGTTTCATGCCTAGAAAGGACAGAGAATATTGTTTCAATACTGGTGTTATCAATACACCAGTTACCTACCATGGGGGTGCCACTGCAGCTCCCACTGTAAGGCACTGCCCAGAGTGGTGACTCAATCTAATGCTGTAACCTAACAAATCTACAGAAAAGAACCAAATCTCGCCATACCCYGAGGGACAGCTCAAGCTCACCTCTCTTCACACTCTTCTGACCCTCATCCATTTTGAGATGACAATCCTCAAGCACATTGCTCATCACTTCTTGCTTCTCTGTAAGAGGAGTCTCAGGGGAGCACAGGACCTTGAGAATGTGTTCGGTCTCCTCTCCTGCACTCAGAAAACACCGAGACAAGAAGCAGGTTATGATGGGCCTTAAAATCCACACTGTGGGATGCTGATGACTAAGTCTTCTCTGAATGTGCTCTGTGTTCATACCAGTCTGACTAATCAATAAATAGCATTCAATTGAAAGGGAACTCCAAGTGCCTTCAGAAGCTCAAATACTATGAGATGTTCCTAGAGAGGGGAAAAAAAAATCTTAACTGCTTATTATATACAGTCAGACTCTCACACTGCAATAAATGTGCTACTAAAGCACACAGAAGCTACAGAAGGCTTAGCAATCCTTTCCTCAAGGCAAAGACAAATCCCAGTACCTAGGTCAGTGTCTCTTCTCTGGTAAACTGGAAAAAATATGARCAGGGAGCATACCCTGAAAAGCAAGACCCTTGTTTGACTCCATTACAAACCAGCCTGACCACAAGTTTTTGTGTCAGAGCAAATTCTCCAAAAAGCAGAGTTGTTCTGTGACAGGATCCCCGAGACCTCCATTTGGGAACGCGAGATACAGTCTTGTAGTGTTTGTCTCATTTTAAGCCACAGAACTACCTGACAGTAGTACTGTCAAATGGGCACATCCCACCTCTCCCAGCTGCAGCACCCTRCCCTCTGGGGAAAGAGCCTTCCTCACCCAGCCAAATAATGACTCCCTAACATAGCTCCAGCCATTCCCTCAGGTCCTGTCCCTGGTCACAGAGAGCAGAGATMAGAGCTGTCCCCTGGGAGGAGCTGCAGACCCAGTGAGCTCTGTGCYCCATCTCCTCTTCTCCAGCTGAACAAAACAAGTGYCCTCAGCTGCTTCTCCTATGGGTTCCCCTCAAGACCCTTCCCCATCCTTGTGTCCCTCCCTTGGACACTCTCCAACAGTTCTAGATCCTTCTGATATTGTGGTGCCSCAAACTTCCCACAGCACTCAAGGWGACACTGCCCCAGTGCAGGGCAGCAGGAAATCMCCTCCCTGTCCCAGCCAGTGATGCTGAGCCTGATGCACCCCAGACCGTGGTGGGACACAAATGGGCTATGTCTTCACAGCAATCTGGGTGTCAGGGTCCTAAGCACATGTACCCTTATTTCAAGGGGTTTGGCTAGCTGCAATTCAGGCCTGTTACACAACAAGAGCTAGAGAAAAGCTCCAGAGCTGCTACCCTCCCTCACCTGGGAGTTATTCTGAGCTGAGGATCTCATGCATACATACAGTGCTACAGCCAAATAACTCATTGMTCCTGACCCTGAATTCCTGGCTAGAGCTGCTTCCTCACCAGACTTCTCCAGCAACTGGGACCCCAGGCAGAGCCTGGGTACCATCAGCAGCACTGCTCAGCTCTCCTGGCTCACATACTGTGCAAAGGGGCCCTTTTCTGCCCAGGCCACTGCTTCTGCTGCTTCATCCCTTTGTTCAGCTCCTGCCTCCTCTCCAGAAGCTGCTAACCCAGCTGCTGGACACTTGGGACCAGCATGGGACACAGGTSTAACAAAATAGTCTGATCACAGAATAGTTTGGGTAGGAACTTTAAAGCTCATCCACCCTTGCCATGGGCAGCGGCACCTTCCACTATCCCAGGTACCTAAGCCTGTATCCCAGCCTGTCCTTGGACACTTCCAGGAATGGGGGAGCCACAGCTTCTCTGGGCAACCTGTGCCAGGGCCTCACCACCCTCATAGCCTAATTCCTTCCTAATATCTGACCTAAGCATAATCTCTGTCAGAGGGAAGCCATTCCCCTTGTCCTTTCACTCCATCCCTTGTGCCCAGTCCCTCCCCATTTCTCCTAGAGCCCCTTTARGCCCTGGAAGGGGCTCTAAGGTCTCCATGGAGCCTTCCCTTCTCCAGGCTGAACAATCCCAACTCTCTCAGCCTTAATTCTCGTTGGAGCCTGATGCTCATGCACAGAATGTGGGCACCTATCAGTCACTTCTCCATCCTTGGGTACACCAGCAAACACACACCTGGGCATCTTACACAGGGTTCACAGCCCTCTCCTAAGGTTAAGTACCCACCAGGAACAGGACATGTGTATGCAGCTGTTTACAAATCAGACTGACAAGATCAAACTATGACCTTATAGAATTTTATCTATGTAATTTTTCCCTGGAACAAGCTTCACAAAAATTAACCTGATACTCTGGCACAGAGCTTCACAAAAATAAACCTGATACTCTTTTTTCCTTAAGAGGGAAAAAAAGCAGAGCTGTAGCAGAACCGAACAAGCCATTATAAGGAAAAGGAAAACATGCCAAAGAATACAGAAAATAGGGAGGACAAACACTAAAGGAATGAAAGATAAAGCTGCTTCCAGAAAGACAGTCCTCAAAGTCCAATGTTTTATGTTGTTTTGTGTTTAGGACAAATCCCAAATAACACAAGAACACAGAACATAAAGGAGAGGAGTGRAAAAACATCCAGACCTGCCAGTTCACACTCAAGGCTAGAATATGGTGAGGGGTGGGCTGGAAAATAGGAACATACCTAGTCTGGGGTGTGGAGTGAGATGGAGATCTGCCTCCAGCTGAGAAGTGCACCACTCCAGCTCCTCCTTGAACATACCTTGGGAAGCCTTGGACATTGTAAGGCAGAATGTTTAGAAGCAGTAAACTCTCACCTGCAAAATGGCGTTTTCTGAGGCCTTCTCCCCTCTCATAGGAGATCATACCTGGCTTTACACTGGAGGTGTGCTGTGTAACAGCTCATTTATACCATAAACCAACACAGCACAGGAACACGTGTCCTTTGTGGAGAGCACCAAATTAGCCCACTGCATTACAAAAATTACAGCTTTTAGTAGCAGGAAACCCCGCCACTCCCAGCAAGCCAGGACTTTCCACAGTCAAAATGTCAACATTTTTCTCCATCCGCCCCCTTTTTAAGGCCCCAAATAGAAAATTTCTCATTTTTCCTGAAGCTTAGTCTATGGCATAATGTCTCCACAGCAGGAAATTTCCTTTTAGCGCAGCTCTGGCAACACACAAAATTTATCTTTTAGACTAAACACAAGCCTTTGAGACCCCATATGTAGTACTTCTACGCTTGCTGCCTACTGCTAAGCACGTGGAAGTAAACGTTTGCAGTCCATCTGGGGACAAGGCACGATAAGGCACTGGGAACAAAAAGAACGTTCAGGAAAATGAGCTGAGCAGGGATTGGGAAAGGCACCAGCGCTAGGAAGGTYTTTAAGGAGAACGTGCGGGAGCTGGAGCCGGTGCGGTGAGAGAGGCTCGGCACGGGCCGGAGCCGAGCAGCAGAGCCCTCACCCGATCCATGCCCGACTCTCCCAGCGCCGCCGGAGGAAGCGGCCCCGCCGCACCGCCCACCTCCGGTCACGGGCYCCCTGTGAGCTTCGGGAGCAGCTCCGCCAGGCCCGGGCCGCCACCGCCAGCTGGAGCTCGGGGCCCGCTCGGGGCCCCCCCGGACCCTTCCCGGACTCTCCGTGGGGCCTCTCTCCCCGCCGCGGGGGCTGAGGGCGGACGGGCCGGGCGGGACCGGTGTGCACCGCCCTCAGCGATCCGGCCGGGGCCTCGCCCCGCGCTCCCGTTCCGCCCGCGAGGGCCCGGGCCCGGCGAGGCTGGGGCGCTCCGGGGCTGGCCCGATCGAGCCCCAGCGCCCACCTTGGCAGCGCATTTGTGACCCCCGAGCCTCCCTCCTGCCCCCTGAGCCCCACAGGGACCTGCCGCACACACACGTGTCCACGGCCGGGCCGGGCCGCGGRTATCCGCCGGTGCCGCCTGCCCTGGGCCAGATCCCCGCAGGAGCGCCCGCACCAGCCCTGGCCCCTCASATGCCAGCTTAACACAAGCCATGCCAGCACGCACCACCATAGGCAGGYAAAAAGGGTTCATGCACGCCTACAGGTACTGTCTAATCCCATTTCTATTATATATTTCCTTTTGATGATTTAATTTTGTAAATAAAAAGTTAGACACCTTCTTTTATAGGCATTTTTTTCCCCCTTGGATTGTTTCCAACAGCCGGAAGATCTCTATGAGGTCAGTACTGCAGCAGCAGAGCAGGTCACAGCATAGGGTTTGATGTCGCTCAAATGCTTCAAACCATGGAGGTCATAATTTCTCTTGACATTGGAAGGTAATGTTAGAAATTCTCCAAGGCTGACAGTGATTCCAGGAGGGYTCTAAAGTGCTAGGAAAGCACTTCCAAATGTTGCTTAAGATTATAAAATGGTACTGGAAAAATCAGCACACTTCTGCCAATCCCAACCAGATTTCTGTCTGCTTTACAATCTCCACTTGCTGAGACTTAGATGTTGTCTAAGCSCTCCCCTCACTACAAAACCACCTCGTTAGTTTGAGCCTTATTCAAGGTTGTCTTGAGACTTATCTCGAGGCTTATTCTGAGTGGCAGTTGGGTCAAAATCAGCATTAGTCCTCCCATACAAGTGTCCAAGCATCAGGAAGAAAGCTGACAGTCAAGTACTGGAGAAGTTAATGAACACAAAATAATGAGCTGTCGTACTTGTCTTGAAAGGCCAGGATCCTTTGCAGCTTTCATCTCCCTCAGTGTCTGAGCTGGACTGAGGGCTTGTGAGCCTGTCACCACCAGTCTGGATCCATCCCCTAATGCAAAAGCTSCCCATCTGTGTGGCCTGAGGAATGCATAAACCCATCAGATCATGCAAAGGCTCTTCTTGATATGGCTGGCAGAGACTGCAAAACCCATCCAGACAGAGCAAGGAGTGAAAGGAATATTGTTTTCTGTGGCAGGATGGTGTCCACGTCTCCAGCTCKGTGGACTCAATGCCCATGCAGGGAAAAGGCACAAAGGACCAGCAATGCCTTGGATTTGATCTCTGCCCTGAGGATTCAGCCCCACAATGGCACAGAGTCRGCGAGCTGTGGCAGCCTTGCTCCGAGGACACATGACAGAAGGGCTTTTCAGAGATCTGAACATTATCCTCAGCTTCTGCTGACACAACAGAAGCTTGTTCACAGGAAGAGCTGTGAGCTGAGCTGGTGGAAGCTGATGTCTAACAAGTCATGGCTGCCCAGGAGTGAAGCAAACATCAGGCAGAGGAATGGGAATGGCTTGAGCCTGCCTTGGGAGCAGGGCAATGCTCCATATGTGCTGTATAAAGAGTGCAAAGGTTGGGACAGTTCCTCATTGCTGTCAGATAGCGACAGGAGCACCTGTCTCAGGGCAGGACAGCTGTGCAGTCCCATAGGTCACTCCAAGACTGGCATTCCCTGCCAGTACAGAGCTGCCTTCTTTCCCTATGCCACCAACTGAGCACCAACAAATTTGTGGCAGGCATGGCTATCACTGGAAGCTGGAAAACGCAGCTCTTTGGTGTGAGGCTCCTYTGAGAGAGTGAGAGGAAGGAATTGGGGGAAAAAAAACAAAAGAGAGAAGTGGAGTGGTTGCCAGAGCTGCTAACCACAGTGCCAGGGAGCCTTAGAGGGCACTGGGACAGCCCAGTGTCACATGCCCGACGCATCCTGTCGCCAGACCTCCTCGCCGGCGATGTATGTGGCTTGCACATACAGGTTGTCATTCAGCATCAGGAAATCTGTGTTGGACAAGAGAGAAAGGAAGCAGCTGTCAGAAGAATGGAGCTGCTAGAGCTCGCAGGGGAAAGCTTAGTGCAGTAGGGAAGGGCTTCTCCCCATCCCAGGATGGCACTGCAATGCAACCCTGGCAATGGCAGCTCTGCTCTCTGAGATTTTGGGGGTTTCCCAAAACTCAAAGGGTTCCCCATTAACATCCAAGGGAAAAACCACTGGAGCAAAAGCCCAGAGCAAATCCCAGGTGGAACAAGTCTCCCTGCAGCTTCCACTGAAACAGGGGTGAACATGTGCTTACAGCAGCCCCTGCTTTGCTCCAGCATTTGTGAGCCCTGACACAATTGTCTCCATACCCACACCTGCTGTCCCCACACCAACACGTGCTGCACCCATAGCAGTACCTGCATCCGAGTCATAATTCAGTGTCCCCTTTTTATGTTCAATCCCCAGGAGCTGGGCAGGATGCAGAGATGCGGCCTCCAGTGCAGTCTCTACTGAGCACCCTTGCACAGAGAATTGRGGAGAAGTTAGGGCAGCCACAGCCCCATTGCCAGAGCAGCCCAAAGCCCCCTGGACAAGGCAACTGTTGACCAGACATGAACCTGAGCTGGAACACCCTCAGCACAGCCAGCTGGAGCTGGGAAGGGAAACATCCCTATAGGAGAGAATAGGCATAGAAAAACTGAACACCTAGGGTATGGAGAAGGGAAAATAATTCACTTCTGTGAGAAAGAAGAAGGAGAGTTCACCTCTCATGAGTTCTACAGGTTAAATTAAACTTCCCTTCAAAAAGGGGCTTATCTGAGGGCACCGGTCCCAGCCCTTCTCATGTCTCAGGTGAGAGGGAATGTTCCTCTGGTGGAATGGGCACAGCTGGCAAAAGCAARACCTCCTGTGTCAACATAGGGAGCAGCAGCTTGTGGACAAGGCTCCCTTACCTGTGGCTTCTTGGAAGTGTCGCACACACGTGTCCATGGTTGCCACGCTGCCACTCAGGGTCTTTGTGCCTGGGAGAGGAACAGGATGGCACTGAGTAGCTCCCGCAGCTCACAGTAAGAAGCAGGGCACTAGGGAAGCATAATGGGACCAGAAGTGCAGAAATCTTGGGTGGCAGGAACAGCAAGCTGAAGGGCCTGCAGCCACWTCCTGCTGGTGCACAGGAAGAGGTACCTGAGTGTTACCCCCAGCTCCACCATCAGACTAGCTAGACTGGGTGAAACCAGCTCACAATGCAGGTATCTGCTGCCAGAGGAAGGGAATGGAGAAAGGAATGAYCCTTCTGTGAAATACCTCCCCAGTCTTCATCTACTTGGGAACTTGAAACGTAAGGAATTTAGCTAACAAGAAGTGGTAGTGTTATAATAAAGAAAAGGGACAATAAATATCTGTACGATTTCTCTGTCCTTACTGACCCTCTGAACCTCTGGCACCCTTGACACTGGGCAATGAGGCTTTTAAAGGTGTTGCAGAGAGCTACAACTGGATAGATTCCTCCACGAGAGYGGCACATTTCTCTTTACCAGGAGTTTCATTCTCCCCAAGGCTAAGTCACTGCAGATCTACCAGACATCAAAACCCAGGAGGGTGGCACAAACACTGCCACACACAGAGAGGGACAGCAAGGTGTATTCTGCTCCTCAGGAATGGTGCCAGTGGCAGCACTGACCCCAGCTCTTCAAAAAGAGGCATTTACCTGCAATGTAAGTATTCAGCCCATCGATCTCCACAACCTGCTGACCCAGCGTGTGCCGACCTGGTGCGAGCCCCATGCCAGCGATTGCATCTGTCACCAGCACCAGGCCTGCGGAACACAAGGAAAGGGACCGTGTCAATTTGGCAGCTGATTTTGCTGCAGTCCCAAGCATTGTGCCGTGTTGGCCCTTCTGGAGAGGGACCACGTGTCTCCAGCCACATCTCAAAGCAAGAGGATTGAGGGATTGGTCACATGGCTGGGACCTTCCAGGCAGCAAGGGCAGCACAAATGTCTTGTGGGAGATGGTGCAGTGCTCGGAGTGGCTGGTGACACTGTGGGGACTGTCATGGCTCACCTTTGGGGTGGGCTCGGTGGGCAATGCGCAAGGCAGCAGGGTTGGTGTGGATGCCATCAGAAATCATGCCATAGAAGACTCTCCGCCCAGCAGGAATCTTGTCACTTGTCAGCAGGCCCACAATGCCAGGGTCACGGTGGTGGAACTGCCCAAGGGAAGAGAGGGAACAAGCTGTGGAGGATCACCAGGACACTGGCGGACGCTCTTCCCCTCAGGGGATGCGGCTGCCATCTCTGTCACACAGTGCCTGGCATCTTTACCAGGCAAACCTGAGCATTGCCTTGAATCASAGAATCACAGGATGGTTTGATTTGGAAGGGACCATAAAGCTCATCTTGTTCYACCCYCTGTCATGGGCAGGGACACCTTCCACTACCSCAGGYTGCTCCAAGCCCTGTCCAACCTGACCTTGAATGCTTCTAGGAATGGGACAGCCACAAATTCTCTGGGCAGCCTGTGCCAGGCTCTCAGTACTCTCAAAGCCAATAATTCCTTCCCAATATCCCATCTAACCCTGCCCTCTGGCAGTGAGAAGACATTTCCCCTTGTCCTGCCACTTCAAGCCCTTGTCCARAGCCCTTCTCCAGTTCTCCTGTAACCCCTTTAGGCCCTGGAAGGGGCTCTGAGCTGTCCCTGGAGCCTTCTTCAGGTGAACACCCCCAGCTCTCCCAGGMTGGCTAGAGAGCAGAGGGGATCCAGCCCTTGGAGCATCTCTGTGGTCTCCTCTGAGCTTGCTCCAGCAGCTCCATGCCCTTCTGATGCTGGATCCCAGGGCTGGTGGCAGCTCYGCAGGTGGGGCCTCACCTGAGTGGAGCAGAATCCTCCCCTCCCCTGCTGCCCACACACAGGAGAGGGTCTGGGTGCTCACAGCCAGGGCAAGTCCAGCTCTCACCAACACTTCCTAGTCCTCAGTGTAGAATTTCAAGAGTCTGCTACAGACTTGACTCTCKTTCAGATACAGCAGTAGGAATGTGAAGCCAGAGGTTCAGTGCCAAAACCTCATTGCAAAACATGGTACAAAACCATCTGGGGAGAACACAGACCCATGGGGAGCAGCAGAGAAAGACCAAAAGCAGCCATGGAGCAGGACAGGTATCTCTGGGGACTCACCGGCAGCATGGCGTTGAAGAGGTGAGTGATGAAGGTTGCTCCGTGCTGCACAGCCTCCTCAGCCTGGGACAGGTTAGCCACCGAGTGACCTGAACACAGAGACCAATGCCTGATTTCTCTGCCCATCTCGCCACTGATTTCCCTACAGGAGTGAAGATACTCCATCACGGGACTGTGCTCTAATGCCCACCTTGGCCTGAGGTGCAGCCTTGACACAGATGTGTCTGGCCATGACCTGGGGGGGCTTTGGGGGTGSTTGTTTCACCTGAACTCCTTCATTGTTCACATCATAGCTATCACAATTGCTGCCTTGCTCATGGCATTTTGCCTTCAGTCTCGGTTTGAGGTCCAATGACACGCCTTTCTGCTGGCCTCAGACAAGTGAAGGTTTTGTAGAGTGGTATCAGGGAGTAGAGAGAGTGGGGACTTCGCCAGAAAATACATGGGAATGAAACTATCCAGAAAGAAAATTCTGTTTCCTCAACAGGACAGCAGCTTTGTGGTCTTTGTGGCCTTTCTGGATGTGGGATAAAAGATATGCTGCTGAATGCCCTTCTCACCTGAGGTTTAATTTCACCCTGAATAACTTTCCCCCTTTAAAAAGAAAACGACTTCTTCAACAGTCTAAGACAAAGAACAGTTTGTGAAGCAAAGGAAAAGAAAACTGCAGCCAGTTTTAAGTCAGAGGCCAGTTGCTGGAGGGAGAGGTTCCTGCAGCACTTCCGGTTGAAAAACAGAGTTATCAAACCAACAGTAACCTTTGGAAAATGATTTCACCTGTCAAATAAGGCCTAAAGCAGTGGAACTTCAGAGTTTGAACCCTTCCACATCATCAGATCTTAAAGTAAGACTGCTGCACTTCCCTGTGTTAGAAYAGCACCTTGTGTTTACTGCAGGGGCTCCTCAGTTGATAGAAACTTTGGCCCTTGCCACGACAGATTGACAGCATCAAGCAAGGTCCCCATTTGTGACAGGTCTGTCMTCTCCATACAGGCCAAGCAAGAGAATCCCACCCTGTCCAGTTGCACTGAGACAGTGTTAGAGATGCCACAGAGAGAGCTTAGGGAGGGGCTGCCAGAGCCCCCCAAGTCCTGGATACCCCAGCCCTTACCCAGGGAGACGCAGATGCCCTGCTTGGTGAGCTCCTGGATCACCTCACTGCTCCTCCTCATCTCAGGGGCCAGGGTTACTATCCGGACACAGTCCAGGGTGCCGTAGGTGGCAAGCAGGTCCTGGAAGGCACCTGCCTCAAAGGTGCGGAGGCAGTGCTCTGGGTGAGCCCCTTTCTTCTCCTTGCTGATGAATGGCCCTTCCAGATGGGCTCCTGTCCAAACAGGAACAAAGAGCCATGACCCTTCCTCCYCCTGCCAAGGACCAAGAAACCTGCTCTGTCTACTCTGCTCCAGTCAAGCTCTTGCCATTTTTCTGCAGTAAAACACATGGCTCTGAGCTCAGCACAACAAGAGATGCAGTGCTGGCCACTGGCCAAGCCAAGCCATCCCACCCCACTGCCATTGCCCCAGGGGGCCCAAAGGGGATGGAGAGGTGTGTGTACAATGGCAGAGAACACAGCAAAGGCCAGGCACAGCTTGAGGGAGAAAGTRGGTCTGTGCTTACCTGTGCATCCCTCCCACCAAGAGCTCCAGCCCCCATTTGTGCTCAGTAACTTTTTTCAGCTCAACCACGAACAAGATAATTGCTCACCTAKAGTAGCACCAAAGAGGGACAAACTGACTTACCCAGGACACCTGCTCCATGGGCTCCACCATTTCTTACACTGATCTGAGGGAGAACCTAGAAAAGGGGGTTCGTCAGACATGGCATACCAGACACAGCCCCCCAGCCTGCCAAATCAGACCCAAACATCAGGTCCACAGGGAGATTTGTAGCTGGACTGCTTGGGACCATCACAGCCCACAAAGGAAAAACCGTCTCCAAGCCTTGCTGTGCAGAGCTCACCTGGGAAACGTGGSTGTCTCAGAATTCTAAAGGCTGAGGGCAAGAAACCCAGGGTAGAGTCCAGCTCCTCATGCCCATGGCTTTTCTGCCCCAGCAGCTATCCCAGTCTTGGCCCACCCACCTCCTGATATCAACCTCAGTCACTGATGACCCTGCAGATGGGAGGGGAGAAGGCCCCTTACCTGGTGGTACACAGATGGAGGAGAAGTCACCAGGGTGGGACAGAAAGAGGTCACTCCATGGGAGAGGATTTTCTGACTGACTAAGTCAATCCCTGATTTGAAGTCATCYGTAGCCAGAGAGAAGTCCACCCCGAAGCCTCCTGCACCATGAACAAAACAGGGGTGAAACTGCAGCTTCCCYAGTGGATGTTTCCCACACAACGAATGAACACCAACGATTTTGTGTGACTGGAGGGAGATGTTCCATTTGTAGGGTGCTAATGCAGAGGGTTCCACCAGCACTTCTGTCCTACATTCCAAGGTTCCACAAGTACAAATCTCACCATCGCTGCCTCCCTGAAGTGCTCCTCCCCACAGCACCCCAGTGTTTTGCAAGAACAGCCTTTTTATTTTGATGCAGGGCAAAATCTGAGGATTGCCAGCTGAACAGGGATCTGACTTCCAACTTTAACTACCAAGAATAAGCCCCTCTTTCCTCCAGAAGAGAACTATTACAGGTAATGTTTGTTCCCTTGGGAAGTCTTGCCTTCTCCTCCCCCACCCTGGAATGGGTAGCGAAAGGTAGGGAAGTACAGGGACAGGATAAAATACAGATAAAAATGATTTCAGAGGAAACCCTCACCTGGCCAAAGGGGATCACTTACACAACAACAGCAACCACAGGCAAAATTGCTCTTTGTCATTAGTTGGCTGACTCACACCTCCCCAGAACAGCTGAAACATGGCCACAGGCAGGACACCCACAGCAGGGCTGGGGGTCAGGGATGGATAAACCCAGGATGCCCCCAGTCCATGAGCACATGTGGTTTCACTATACCATTGATCTGGACATCGATGAAGCCTGGGGTGATTATGCTGTCCTTGCAGTCCAGCTGGATGTCAGCAGAGCCCTTTTCGTCAAAGAAGAGTTTCTCTGGGTTGAGGATCTTCCCCTCACGCACCCACAGGTCCTCCCTGGAGGGACAGTCACACACACCAAGCTCTGGTGCCTTCTGCAGCACGTGGAGCAGGTGGCTGTGCCCCAGTGACGGTGATCCAGGGCAGAGTGGATCCCACTGGCACCTCCAGCCACGGGYTCTGCCATGTGTGCCAGGGCACAGCTGCTCTTCCAGCTGGGACACAGCGGGCAGTCCTCTCTGCCTGGCTCTGGCTTTATAAAACTCACAGGAACGGGGTTTTYATGGGCTGCCCCTCAAAGGTGGTGGTGATGGCTAAAGAGCCGCGGGGCTGGCAGARGAGGCAAAACGAGAGGGACTGTACACCACACCCATCCCCTCTCCCTCCAGAAGCTGGCAGGAGGGACATGTGATGGTGGGAGCGCGGTGGGGGAAGAGGCCAACAGCCCGCCAGGGGGAATGGCGACCATCCCTGGGGCACTGCAGGTGGCTTGGCAGGTCGGCAGCCCGTCCGGGAGGCCCCACACCMCAGGCACCGCCGCAGCTTCAGTACCCCAGCGGCCTTGGTACCCCCGCCTCACCTCTGGAGCTGGTGGTCCCKCAGAATGCGGCAGTTGGTGAACTGCACGATGGGCGCGTCCGAGACGGATTTGTTGGACGGCATCGCGGGAATCGCGAACYCCACAGTGTCCGGCGAAGGGGGCGGGGAGCGGGCGTGGTGGAGCAGGGCCKGGCCGCGCTTCTGTGCGAGCGGCTACCGCGGGACTGGACAGCCGGTGAGGGGCGGAGGCACCGGAACACCGCCCCGGGGGTAGGCGGAGGCTGAGCGCTCTCCCTGTCCGGCGCTCTGAGCCGAYGCTGTGAAGAACAAGCCCCGCGGGGCCGTGCGACCGAGGCCCGCCGCAGTGCCCGACGAGCGCTGGGCCCAGTGCAGTGTCCCCGGTGTGGCGTCCCCGGGGCCGGGCCCGGGAGCGGGGGGCGGGACCCGGGAGCGGGGCCTGGCTGCGGACTCGCCCCGCAGCGCCGCCTGCTCCCATCACGTGAGCGCGCTCAGCACGTGCCGGGATTCCCCGCCCGCCCTGCCACACGTGACTGGCCCCGAGGAGCTGCCATCACGAGAAGGGCGCCGCCATCTTGAGAAGGTCGGCGGCGGGAGCCCTCCTCATGCGATCCCACCCTGGATCCCCATCGTGAGACCCGATCCTGAACTCTGATCGTGAGACCCCATCTTGAACTCTGATCGTGAGACCCCATCCTGAACTCTGATCGTGAGACCCCATCGTGAGACCCCATCCTGAACTCTGATCGTGAGACCCCATCGTGAGACCCCATCCTGAACTCTGATCGTGAGACCCCATCGCGAAGCCCCATCCTGGCACCTCCATCCCAAGACCCCCATCCTGACACCTCCGCCCGCTGCCCCGATACAAGAGGGAAGCTGACGAGACTCAGTGGTTCCACCCAGCTGATGTGGGCTCGGGCACTGCTGATGAATCTCTCCCAGGAAAGATAAATTATGGGGAATAYAATTATGTATGAATGTAACATCCCTGTCTGGCCTGGAATTGGATTTTAATTAGATTTTCTGCTATGCTTATCATTCCRTGATGTCAGTGCTTGTCCACACTACAAGCTGCCCCTATTGTCAACAGGATGCTGGGGAAGGGGCCTGAAAGGGAGGGATAGGAATGATGCTGGGAAAACTACATCTCTCTGCCCTGCTTATTTGTCTGTGAAGGAAGGGTCTATCCAAGCTGYTACATCCAATTTGGATGTCAGAAGGCATGTGTGGCACTCAAAACTGCCTGTGGCCAAAACAGGTCCCTTCCCCAGGAACACACAAGCTGACATGGCTGTGACAGTAACTTCAGCTGGCAGTGGAAGAGATGCTGAAGTAAAGGCAAATAYTGACTGCACAGATAGGAACAACCACCTTAAATATCCCACCCCAGGCCCACCCAGAGCAGTGACAGAGCTTCACTTGACAACCCTCCAGCCACACAGCTTCAAGGCTTCCTCAGGCTGCCAGTCCCAAGCCTGAATCAGAGTGCTGAGACCGCCTRGTTTTCTGCACTGCTGGGAGAACAGAACAGCCCGTGCCAAGCAATGAGAATCTGTTCCTCGAGGCTATAGGTATGTCATCCAGCCCAACCTATGGCATGTACTGTTAAAGTCTTACCCCTTTGGATGTTTTCCTTTTATTTCTCAGCATTAACCCTYTCTTGCATCACTAATACTGCACCCTCCTCTAACAGTCATTCCATATTCTTTCTCTCTGCTGCCCCAGTAACACACTGAGGGAATCACAGGCTGTAGTTTCACTTGCATTTTCTTTAGCAAATGTGGGTTTTCTTTTTCTTCAGGTCGAGTTATTTTTAACCTGGCTCAATTCCCAAATTAGGTTYGCTGCCTGGCAGCAAGAGCAGTTGGACCTGCGCACTTAGGAGAAGTCAGGGAGCACRTGGAGCAGCTGTGGGAGCAGGACTAAGGCTGATACTGCTGCTGCATGAAGGTCTGTTGAAATATAGCCTTGTCTTTTGATTTTCACAGGCATTCACAAAGATGTCTAAGAAACTGTCCCAAGACACACAGGAGCCACAAAGGCTGCTTAGAACAGGCTGCCTTTGTTGGGGATATACACATTTCCCAAGATTTGTCCTCAGCCTACCTTACGCAGACAACYATTAGGAGAAGGTGGCTGAATTCACTCTCTGCTACTTAAGTCACTCTTTTACTCTCTGCCAAAGGCAGAGGAGGAAAGCACAGGTGTAACAGCACGGACAGGGAAGTTCAAAGTGCCAGAAAAGGGTACAGAACTTACCCAGTCCCTGGTATCCCCTTGATGAATCCTGAAGAGCAGCTGTGGTGAGAGCAGCTTGTCCCCTCAGCAAAAAGAAAATGGCASATTGGCCATTTGTTGTGCAGAAGCTGTGTCCCACCTAGCTTGTCCTCTCTCAAGTCAGAGTGAGTTATCAGGGGTCTGTATGTACCTTGTGGGTACAGTGTGGTGCCCCAAGAGCCTTGGCCCTTATACTCTCTAAAGCCAGGGCAGGATTTTTCCTTGTGTGCTTTTGTGTCATGACACAAGAACCAGCTTGGCAGAAACCCAGTGATACAAGCTGCAAAGCTGTGGCTCTRAGGAGCTCATTGAAGTGTGTCTTGCAGAGAAAATAACAGCATTTATTAGCTTTAACAGGAAAAGAAATGGAGAAGCATTTTGGGACACAATCCTTTGACCCTGAAACAGAAAATTCCCACTGCAGGGCAAGTGGCATTGGGAAGACTTGCTCTGGGTTTAATTATGTCAAGAGAAAAAGATGGTTAWTAGCTGTAAAACTAAAGCCAGAGGTGGTAAGTCCTGTATCAGAGACAAGTAACTCTCACCTGTGCACAGMAATGGTTAGGACAGTATGGCTGGCTGGAAACAGCAGAATGCCCTAAAATCAGCATCCCTATGGCCAGCCTGGGGAGGAAACTAGGTTTACTGAGAGCTGAGGTCATTAGATGTGCTATTACTCTGTAATTGAAAATGGCAACTTKGTTTCTAGGATCAGTTTCCTATAACAAGCTTTTTATTTCCCCAAACCTTATTTACTTTTCCAGGTTACYATGCTTCTCTGTAAACCAGACCTCCCTGGGAAAGCCAATCCCTGAGCAATCACAGATAAAACCGTGATACTTAAAAACGATTCTCCAAACAGCAGTGAAAGCAAATTGCAGCCTTTGGGGAAAAAAAAAAAACCCAAAAAACCAGTGTGAAAGGGTTAATACAGAACAAGGTCAGGAGGCTCTGTRAAGGCATTGTCTGTGCTGGCAGCTCTGGCAACAGGTCCTGAAGCTCCCYAAGCCTGCAGAGCCGGCTGATGGCCGGGTCCCTGTGCTGCTGCTGCTGCTGCAGAGGCCCCGTTCTCTCTGCAGGGCTGACTCACTGCAGCGCTCCTGGCCACGCACGGAGCACCACAGCACCGCGGCTGCGCTGGCACAGCCACCCCCTTCCCYGCTTCCAAACCGACCATCGAGTCAATCCCTGCCAGCTGGGACTGCGCTCTGAGCTGCCATGCTCCTGGCACTGAAGGAATTTAAAAAACCRCAAAGGTCCCTACTTTTCCTTATGCCCCGAATCACTTGAGAAATGTGCTGATGCAAGAGCACCAATGAAGGACTTGAAAAGCGAGTTTTCACCCAGGAGTCATCACAGAGGATTCAGAGCATCACTGTCACGGCTGAGGCAGCATGTGCAGACTGTTAATTTGACTCYGGGTGTATTGCAGGTACTTGGCACAAAGCGATCCTCCCCCAGTCTGTGGTCACTCCAGCTCTGTTCTTCTTGCATGGGTTTATATATTAATGACAAAGGCTTCATGATCCAAGGCATGAATCAAAATGCCATTGAAGGGATTTTGCCTGCACTGATTTTCTAAGTACTTATTGTCTCTGCACGATGTCACCAACCTGTAAGGGATCTTAGGGTGCCTGAAATGTGGGGCCTTTCAATTGCTTACTGCAYGTGGAGATGAGAGCATTTAGCTGCTCTCTTAAACACAATTTGCTCACGTTCTTGTTAACTGGCAAAAAGACAGGCAGCAGGGTCCCCTTACAGAAGGTAAGACTGGGTATTAAGCATATTTGCAACCCCAGCCAGGACCCTCTCCTAGCCTGCCACACAAGCCAAATGCAATTCCTCTCACCAGAACCGCAAGCTGGACGCAGCATCCTCTCCAGAGCCTGGATTCAGGATTCACCCCACAGCTGCAAGCCTGTCACACAGCACCAGGAAGGCCCCTTCTACAGTCACTATGAGAGACGATTAATCCACAGATTCCATAAACCTTTATGGACCCCGGGGAAAGCCTACTTCAGAGGTTTAGTCTACTACTTTTGTGCATGAATGACCAACACCATTGTGATCAGGAATTTCCCTTTCCCCCAGGCACTGCTTCAGCAGGCATCCAGTACTTTCCTTCAGTCAGCTTACACCTCTGTATGGCCCCACCACCATCTCTGCTCATATTTCCACAAGGTAAAGCCCTTCCCAAGCAAAACCAGCCCAGTCCAGCCCAGCACCAGGCAGTTGAGAAGCAACTGCAGAGAAATCAGTGTTTTAGCAGAGATTTTAGCAAAGAGCAAAAAAAAAAAAAAAAAGCCAATTACCTTCTTTAATGATTATTGTTATAACTACACCCTGACAGAATGACTGGCTCATAGCCAGAGTCTCCTGAACACCCAGAAGGTGCACACAGTAACACCAGGCCTGGGCAATGCCCGTGCCAGGTTAGAAGCTCCAGACAGCTTCACTGAATTCCTTATGCTCTGGCCACAGCTCTTCATAGAACTTGCACCAGATTCACAGGATCGGTACCTGAGTCAAACACACATCTTCATTCCCAAACAGGTGACAGATCCCTCCACCTGCACCAGTTTCGTTTGATTTCAAAGGCACTGCTAGCACAGGTATCTGTGTAATAACATTTTGGCTTGAACAAGGCAAAGCCTGACCTGTTCTCCAAGGTACAGACTGAGGATTAAGGTGATGTACTTCCCAATGCTAACTGGGACCAAGCTTTACCACTGAAAGGGTTCAACACGCATTTTCCACATAAGCTCTCAAATCCTCAGGACAAAGGAAGCTGCTCCCGCACTCAATAACTGCAGCAGCAGAATCTCCCAGCTCAAAATGTCCTGATTTAAAAATTAAAAATACAAGTTCTTGACTGAAGCCATTYTGTTGATGAGACTATTGTTGAGGTACTTCAGAGGCAATTACTTTTCACAGTACAGCTTCTAAGGAACTCAGCCTCTGCAGGGCCAGCACRAGGACAGGCTGCCCTGTTTCCTGACAAGGCAGTTCCTCTCCTGGTCACAGGCTGAAGCCTGTACCCTACCTCCCTTGGTTACAGGGCACCACCCTAAGCCAGATGTACTGATCAGGGTGAGCATAGCCATGCATTCCCGCTCACCATGAATACAGCCCATGGCAGCAGCTGCAAACCACATTGCCACTGCTCTGGAGAAAGTTTGTGGCAGAGGTGGCAGCATTACTCCTGCAATGCTGCCCAGTCACTTCAGGAACYTGCCTCCCCTGAGGTACCCTGCCCTCTTCCCAAAGGAGCAGCAACAGCTGGAAATGAGAGCCAGGGACTCATTACAGCAATGTAGTGAGGAAGTTTTATTTGGAAACATGGTAGAAGTTTGTAACCCAACACTGGGTGCACGACTGATGCCGGAGCATACGCGGTTACTAATGAAACACAGGAGTGTTTCGGACAATTGCTGTAATAAAACACAAAATTCTCATACTCCAATACCAGGACACTACAGCAATCTTTAGAATCAAAGTTACATCCAAGGAATTCTTTGCACTTACAACTGACCCCACAGTGTAATCTACCTATATATAAGATTAATATATATAGCATGGGAAATTGAAAATCCTTGCTCCATAGATGTATGAACATGTCAAGTCTTTTATAAATAAACATCCAGTGAAGAGAAAAAATTACATTTCTAGTTCATATTTATACATAAAATACTAACAGCAATGGGTGGAAAATTGCACATGGGCCACCCCAAGCCATGCAGCAGGCTTGGAGCAGCCCATCCCAGTTAATATTGAAGTACACACAGGACAGACGAGTCACTAACATATATTGCGCATTTACAAGAGATCAACTACCAAATTGGGACAACTGTACACATTGGAGAAACCATTTTCATTCTGGAGCTTTTTTTTTGTTAAATGTAGATTTGTTATCTCTTTACATCATACCACAACATTTACTTCGTGGAGAGGATAAGGGCAACGATGAGGCCATAGAGACCCAAGACTTCAGCGAAGATCAAAATGAGGATCATCCCCACAAATAACCTGGGCTGCTGTGCTGTGCCCCGGACACCTGCATCACCCACGATGCCGATGGCAAAACCAGCAGCCAAACCGCTGAGACCCACACTCAAGCCAGCGCCCAGTTGAAGGAAGCTCCTGTGGGACAGAGACAGAAGAGTTTCAGTGGCAAGGAACAGAACACCCAGCCTTAAGCCTGTAACTCTTGCAACAAGCCCGGTGTGTCTCAAAGCAGATGCTTACTGGCACTCCATACTTTGGCACTTAATGAAATGGGCAGCAGTGGAGGATCTTCACCTGATGTTCAGGGGTGGCTCATACACCAAATTGAGTTACTGGGCCTGGAGTTCACATGGCTACCAGCTTGTCTGCAGCCACTTCAGCCATCTGCAGGCTCAGCAGCACACACTAGCACTTGTAGCAATGCCTGTCCCACAGTGCTCTGTAGCCTGTTAGGAGCTGCCCATCTCCAAYCTTTAGCAACCTTATATACAGCCACAGCACATCCTGATGTCTTGCACTGTGGGAGCTAGGCAGGAATAATCTGGTTTTCCAAGGAACGCAGTCCTGAGGAGCAGTCCCTTATGAGTATTTGCCCACCTGGTAATTGCAAAGGACCATGAGTATCTGGTGTTTTAGAYCATGTCTTGTTAGGCCAGCACACTGCTCAGAGGTACAGCCTGTACAGCAACAGAGATAACGGTCACACTTCAGCAGCACTGTTTCATTCCAAGGGGGCTCAATCACACCAGGTCCTGCTATTCTCAGATGCCAAAAGCAGATTAAGTTTCAGACTGTAGCTGCTATAGAGGCCTGATGTATAGCTCAAGGATTGATTTACCAGCACATAAAGCAAAAGCAGTATTAATTATTCACTTGCATCTCCCAGGCAACAGCAGAACTATTTAGACAGTATYGGAAAGACCTGTGCATCCAGGTCTAGAGTCCAGCACCATGACACAAGCTTTGCCTCCTATSCCAGTGCTGCCTGTACACTGCTTCTTTCAAGCCACAGCCCCACCACATGAACAGTGGGATGCCCAATTGATTTGTGACAGCCAGTGCAGCCAACTGAGTAGGCAGCTCCACTGGGGCTGAGGCATCCAGCAGTACAGCTGGAATCCAGCCCATGCTCTTAAGCCTAGCCCAGGACCATTCAGCACTGCCAGCCCTTCCAGGGGCCTCAAGCCAACACCACCTACACACGGAGCATCAGTGATAGGACAATCTGAAACAGAACTGCCAGATGTAGCAACTTACTTGAATAGCGTGATGGTAGGTGAGAGGGCGTTGGCAATGAGCACTGCCACTACGAGGCCATAGATTGCTATAATACCCGCCATGACCACGGGGATGATGGACTTCATGATCAGCTCAGGCCTCATGACAGACATGGCTGCAATACCTGTGCCACTCTTTGCTGTTCCATATGCAGCTCCCAAGGCTGGAAGAGAAAAAAAATGCATTAGGCACATCCCCAAATACCATCTCCTTCACTAGGCTGCAGTTAGAACAGCTCAGTCAGCACAAGGAAGGATTGCAAAACTCACACAGTCACTTGACAGCCAGGAATACTCCCCTAAGGGATGAGGAAGTGACCTACCCAGAATCCTAGACCAAAGATGAGTAAGAGGTGCTGTTCAAACACTACTGATTACAGAACATCTTCCCAGGCCAGCTTCACAGCAAGGCACACACCCCCAGCAGCCATCCATGGTCCTGCTTAGGGGCCAAAACCCAAGGTCCCAACTGGAACTCCCACATCTGTGCCCTCCAGAGTCCCCACTGCAAGGCTCAACAAGGCACATCTGTCTACCCCAGCAGAGTACAGATGAGAGCTGGGTTTCAGAGTCACTGAACTTCGAGCCACCCGAGCCAAGTTCAGATACACAGATCACCTTGTGGGGTCTCTTCTCCCACAAAACCCATTTGCTTATGCTTTGGCTCTGGAGTTAAATGTGCCACTGCAGCATCATCAGACACACTGAAACAAAACAAACTCAAATATTATCACTCCATGTCATTCCTTGGAGAAAGGTCACCCTTCTCCATGTGCCAGAACCTCACCTGTGAAGGATTCAGGTCCAAACACTTTTCAATCTAACCACTGAAACTATGAAGAAGAGTTTGGCTTATATGTTAGAGAGGACCACAATCACCTTACACCTAAGGTTTACTCATCATCTCTCTCAACATAAGCATGCAGAGACCTGCACAGGATTCAAAGTAGATGATGGGCTTTTCACCCGCACCCGAGACCTGCTGGATGAGTCCAAAGCACTACCCCAAAAAAAGTAACTCTTGCCCGGACAACTTTGTATTAGTATCACAAAAGCTTCCTCAAATACCTCATTCTTTGATTCTGCAGTACTTGAAAAGAGCCCTTCCCTTCCAGTCTTACTGAGGAGYATTGTGGGAACCTCACAGTTTCCTACTGCACTCACCATCACCCTGAGATGACATGCAGGTCAGCTGCCAGCCAGGAATAAGTCCCTGAAACAGCAGTGATAGGCATATGGTAGGGCAGGCAGTCTCCTTTTCTGACACCATCAAGATGATATTTAGAAGTCAGTCCTTCTTGGCAAGAAAATGTTCTTTCATTTGTTCGAAAAGGCTACTGGAACGTATTTAAACCATGGGCATGTAAAGTCTTTGTACTGTTCTGAGACTTACTAGTTGAGCTTACTACACGCACAGAAAACTAAGTTTTCTCCAAGGGAGATCTGCTTGTTCCACAAAGAGCTGTAACTGCCTTAGACCAGTATACAAGTGCGAAATAGTGCACCTTGTCCCAAGAGTTGCTGGAAGGTATTTGGAGGAGTTTGTACATATGCTTTCCTGCTTCTCGCTCAGCATTCCTGTAAAGCCCATCTTTGAGCATTCATCCTCCTGGCTTGGCACTAAAACTCCAGACCATTCATAAAAGCCATGTTGCTGCACTAACACAAGGTTCATTATCAGATGGAAGTTCAGTTTCAGTTACAAAAACTTGAAGGGGAAGTCTCATTAATAACTACCAATTTGTTCTGTGCTAGCAAAGCTCTTGAACCTTGACTGGGACTAGGTGATGTAAGGGGCTGTTTTGGGTAATTCAGAACTAGAATACAACTTAGGAAGCTTGAGCCAGGAGCAGGTTCTATCTGTAAATGTAAGCTGAGCCTGGAAACTTAGCATATGGACTTAATCAGCCATTTCAGCTGATGGCTCTATTTGGGGTCTAGCCATTAGGAAATCTAGAAGGAAATCACTGACTTGAACTAGAAACCATTTTTGTTGGATGAAGCAACTTCTAAGAGCTGGAATTAAGGCTGAATCCTGGTTCCACTATCTACCCTGGGTATAGAATTTAGCAGAAACCGCTTCTCCTGTCTTTAATCTTTTACAAACATCTTCAAAAATGCAGAGGTTCATGAGGGAAGTTCACTATTTAAAGTTAGATTAGTCATTACTTCCTCCAAGCCTGAAGCTACTTGAGAATGTTGCAATTAATGCAGTGATGCAGTAGAAAAAGTGATTTTGTAATCCCAATTATAGAAAATCAGCTTGCTCAAGCTTTTGTGGAAGGGCAAAACAGCACAAGTTTGTCAGTTCTCAGTTAAAACCTCAGAAGAAGCCAGATCCTATGCCYTGAACTTGTTTTAGACACAGTTCGAAAGAAAGCCTATGCTTACCAATCCTCACATGACAGTTTCAGATGTCACTGAAGCTCTACTGAAGTCCCACTGGTGGACAATCACAGGGGGCACACAGAGCTTCAGAACTTGGCCTATCTGCTCCCAAGGAAGCTTTTATCAGCACCTCGACCAAGAGATATCTCCAGCACCTTACAAGGCAGCTTAACTGCCCTTCACTAGCCTGKCAAGTTCTCTTTGCATCTTTGTCATTATCCCAGCAAGGTGGAAAAGACAATACCTGCTTCTCAACATAAGCCAGCCTCTAGTGGCACAGCCACTCAGTTCTGGGCTATGGACACCCTGGACAATGTTCCTGCACACCTTCACTTGTACCTCGTGGCAGCTCTGAACAACTGAATCATGTACTCATCTGCTACATTTAAATATCCCTGATACATTGGAAGGACATTTTCCATCATGGTGAACAGGGTTTGAGGACTCTGTGGCACACACTGGAAATGGGGCAAGAGCTATACCTCTGCTACACACAGACTCTGGGGTTTTGTGTCAGATCATCCAGCTCCCTCACCTCTAACATACAGACCAAACAAGCTCCAACACTACCCTTAAAGAGGTAGAGCTGTGATGGAACTCTCAAAATATTTACCTGGCAGGTGGACAAGCACTCTGCCTATCTAGTTCACTAGAGAAGTAATCCATGCTGGTCTCTAACCAGGAACTGTGCCATTCAGAAGCTGAATGGWGTTACAATACAGGGAAGTTGCTTTGCACATAATTGAAGACCACCTACTATCAATAAGCATATTTCAAAGGTTAACTTCCTTGTGAAAAGCTTCTGAGTTACTCCTTGAACTCACGACCCACAGTGGATTTATGTACTGCTCCTGGGGGCAAAATGCTCTCCCCTCAGGGCAGAGGATATGCTGCCTGGCACCTCACCATATCTGTCCCCTTAAAAGTGAGAGCAGAGGGAGTGAGGCTGCACAGCTCCAGGATCAACTATGAACCACAAAGTCACTTGCCAG